TCCAATGTCGATAGCATCCGATTCGAACAATACCGTCAAGGTTTTCGGCTCACTCGCAAGTCGTGTTCGAATTCGGCGGAGTGGGTATAATGCAGCGGAGTACGATGAGATCTCTCAGAGTTCCGATATACTTTCCTCGATGCCGGCGGGGACTCGGAATTCAACGACAACAAGAGGATGGTTCAAAGCTATCGTCAAGCAACGAATGGGCTATTGGCCGTGTTTCCAGCTAATGATATTTGGAAACAGAAACTCTGGACTAATCAACACGTCCAAAGGCAGGCCGTCGCAGAGGCCAAGTGCCGTTCTTCGTTTCGTGACTCGGGATGATGGGCGTGGTGGTGGGGAGGGAATCGGAAGCACAGGCTGGCTGGCTGAAAAGGAAAGGGTAATTCACAAACAAAACGTTGCTAGACCCCACGAACAACGACGACCTCGAGAAAGGATGAAGAAGGCACCTCTTCCTTCGAGTCAAGAAATGACAACAAAAAACAAGTGGCCGACAAAACTGAAGAACCAGACGAGAGGGAGAAGGAAAAAAAGAGAAGAGGAAGAAACAAAACGAGAAAACAAGAAACATCCAAGGGCTTAAGAGTCGAGACCACAAAATTCAACCCAAATCCAAGATGAATCACAGACGAAGGTGACGGAGCTACACTACTCTCCATCATCTCCACATGGGAAAACCACATAACCCGGCACTTACCACTCGTCCCGCGGGAAGATCACCAACGAACGGACCTGGTACCTTACATGCAGGCCTTTGGGGCCAAGTTTACCATGCACCTTGGGCGGGATAGGGTCTCATCGGGCGTCCGTCTGGCACCACACATCTCCCCTCCTCCATCCATGATCCAGCCAGGGCCCAGACACGGACGGGGAACATTGAAGGCCAGTCACTGCCATCAGGCTTTTGGCAGACGTGCCAGACGAAGAGAGAGAGAGAGAGACAAGAGACAATCGCGGGACAGACATCAGTCAAGCAGGAGCTAGAGCCTTCCTCGAGTGCCCGCCCAGGGGTCCGTCCGCCACTGCTCACCCCCAGCATATTGTGTAAGTCTCAGCCATCAGACGACGGGCCAACGCCTCAGCCAAATGACGGGGCTTCCTCCCGAGCTTCATCCCCGACGACGTTCAGACATGGTCCCTCTGTATCCATAGCCATACTTACACAGTAGGTATCTGCTTGGATGTGCTAAGAGAGTGCGAACCGCTGAGCCTGAACCTGGACCGCAGCATGCAGGACGCGGGAGGCAACATGCAGGCACCGCAGGCACCGCAAGCACGCAGGACGCAGGACGCAGTGCAGTCCAAGTATCCGTAGCGAATGACACCCCCAAGCCAACGAATATCTCACACAGCGTGCAAGCCGACACTGGGATATCTCTTGGAGGGGTCCAGGGCCCGGGGAGAAAATGAGGTGCTGTCCCGGGCTAGCGACGCCAAAGTGCCTTACCCTTCCCGGGGCGGCGCTTCATTGGATGGTACCGCGCCGTGTGCGGCCCTCCTTTCCCCCTCCATTTTGCCGCGTTGTAAGTGGTGACTTGAAGCCCAGTCGATGGTCCTGAGTGAAGAGTGTTCATTACAGCACTTAACACACTATCCGTACATGCAAGGTGATGGATTTTGAAGACGGGCCTGCATCCTCTCGATGAACATGTTTGTGAAGAACTCACTACACGAGTTCGTCTCTTGGCCTGGTGACACGACGTTGATGATTACTTGGCCTGCATACAGGTCTGGAGAGTGAGAGAGAGTGAGAGAAAAGGAGAGAACGTGGTGAACAAATTCTTCACTTCGATAACATCGCATGCCCGTTGAAAATGTTTCATCGTTTCACGAAATAAACATCTCACTTTCATCAATCCCACCCACATTCCCCTCCAATCCAACACCAGCGTCACACCCACTAGTTAGAGCCCACCTCATCCCCTCCGCCCATCAGAGCTTGTCATTTACAGTGTACTTTCGTAGATCGAGAGGTCTCGACTCACTCATCCACTCATCAGCGGCAGGTCATGAGTGGCGCAAACCGGCGTGCCGCCCCCATCCATCTCATTCAATCTCACCAAAGACCTCGCGTGCGGCGTGCCCACGAACCATTCTGAAGCGCCACTTTAATCACATAATTTCCAGGGACCGTTCCTGCGTTTCACATTGACCACCTTCTCTCTCTCTCTCTCTCCTCCTGATGCCCCCCCCCCCCCCGAATCCTTTATCCTTCATCTGACCTCACCCACTTGATTTTCGCGAGAGACTCCTCAGCCAGTGGTCGTTCTCATCGCTGTCACGGACAAAAGTAATGAAGTTTTGGATGAAATTTCAAATAATTGCAATGAGTGCAAACGAGCATTCGTCTCACGAGTCACCTTCCCTATTCAACGCTCATAAAAATCTCATTGATGATGGCACATTGCACTCGGCACGCCCGGCCCCTCGTTGACGAAATGAACCAAACACCCCTGGAACTCAAATCGACACGCGCAATCTCGTCCAGTGCGAGGCGAGCAGTGTGAACCCTGCACTTTGAACTCTGGAGAAGGACGGATTGCATCTCACTGATTCTCGGCCGACCATTGCTTACATACTTGAGCTGACCCGACCATGAAGTTGAGCTGACCCGACCTTACTGCGTAGACCTGACCTTTTACTTTCGGCTAGCCATTGGCTATACCTGTCGGGGCTCGCGAGCTGAGCAGGCATATTGCACTTGACCTAACCTGAACTGACGTGAGTTGAGTTAGTTGACCTGACCCGACCATTGAATCTGTAGAGGAAAGTTTGACTGTGGATACGTCAGATCAGGTCAAGTTCAACCTCCAGTCCTCCAATGACAGTCGTGCCATTGCTCGCCGACGAACACTTCAGCTGGCCCTGCCCCATCGTACTTGACCTGACCTGACCCGACCATAACATCTTTGTCTGCGTATGGAGCATACGTCAGGTCAGCTCACGTCTAGCCCTTATTCCTCCAATGAGTATCAGCCGTCGCTCGCTCATGAATCCTCTAGCTGGCCCGAGCACATTGAGAGTTGACCTGACCTGACGTATGCTCCACATGCAGAGATGTTCTGAACTTTTGGTGAGGTCAGCTCAACTCGGACAGGTCAGGTCAGGTGAGGTCAACTTCAAGTTCGCCTTCTCCAATATCAACCAGCCATTACCGTGACACTCACTTGACTTTGACCTGACTTCTTGACCAGACCTGACCCGACCATAAATCCTCAAAGCTTTGACTACACACGTCAGGTCAGGTCAGGTCAAGTTCGACCTCCAGCCCCCCCCCCCCCCCCAATAGCAATCAGCCCTTTCCAAACCGAACTTGGAGTTCGCCTGATGCGATCCATACATTATTATTCCCGGAGTCGGATCAGGTTGTCCAGAGAGAGCAACAGTCGGTTGAACCACCTCTTCCACAACCAGTCAACTCTCCATTGCCTCTATACAGAAGAAACACGATGCTTCGCTTGCCGAACCACGTCAATGACCTAAATCTCCCCCATTAACAAAAGCTTTCGTTGAGAAGCACCAGCATCCCCCCCTCTCTCTCTCTCTTTGCCAACCTTGAATTCATGGGTTTCCCGTCCCAGGCCCTCAACGCTACGCGCTGCTACGCGATTGCGCCTCCAGTCACTCGAACCAAGGGTGGTCAACATGTACGTACGCTTGGAGGCCTGCAAACATCAGGTATCCCAGAGGACATACATGCAAACCGCACCGCACTCCTTGACCTCTGCAATGCACTGCACCGCGCGCCGCAGTCAGCAGCAGCCTGCAGGAGGAATCATCAGCAGCGACAACGACAGCATATGCTTAGCAGCTGCCATCCTCGGTGAAGTGAAACCGCATCCGTCCATGCATTCAGTCCAAGCTCCCTCTAAACTCTCCATCCCGACCATGAATACCTAATTTGCCATTACCTCATATCTTGAAATGTTGAGTCTTGACACCTTGACACCATGACAACGACACCCGTCTGATCACGCACAGCACGGAGTTACGGGTTCAGCAGCACGCACCACCCGTCACCTGCCATCACATCCTCTCCTTCACCTCGGTCAAGCCAATTTGCGTCCGTAGCTCTCTTATCCGTAAACCTGCATCTGCACCGCTCGAGGCCTGACCTGACCTGCACGTCTTCACAAATAGACCTACTAGCAAACAACTGGCACAGTTGGCCTCGTTTCGCCCTGCACCTTGAAAGCTTTCCTACCATTATCCCTATGAAAACATCTTCCCATGGCCTCATTTAAACTTTTCTCCATGGCTCCTCTGCAGCTCCCAACCTGTAGCTCCCCGGAGAGCAACATCTCAAACAGAACAGCCGCCTCCGAAGGTTGCGCTTTAAATGGCTGGCATTTCGTCGCCCCCCGAGTGCGAGTTATCTGCAATGCTCGGAGCATGGACCATGAGTCGTTGCAGCACATGAATTACATTAAGGCAGGTCTTCAATGCCGACCCTGCATGATTGTCGATCACACGTCTCCGAGCCACGTCACATTCAAAGGAGGGACAAGCATTCAGGCACATATTTGTGATCGCTGTCTTTATTTGCAATTAACATTGAAATGTCTGCCTTGCAGGGATTCGACCTGTACCGTTTGGACCCTTGTGCTTCGTCGGTCCCTTCTAAGCCTTCTAAAGACTCTTGCAGACCAAAGATGATGCGACCCAGGGCTTTGAACCACGAACCTCTTGGATGAAAAGTGCAGTCTTGCGTGCGGTTGTCTAGAAAAATATCAAAAATTGTCATCGCTAATGCCTCAACGCCTTCTGAGTATGTCCCAATGCCTGTACCGAAAATGAGAAACCTGGGGGTATTCGAATGGTTGCGATCCGGGAAATAGTGGCTGGATGCTTGCGTCCAGATAATGCAAATACTCCCACTTCTTCTCTCAGCGATAATTGTCTGCCGAGAGCAGGAGATCGCAGAATCCTCGGAAACAAATGCTCATGTAAAATGTCCGAAAAAATTAGACGCGCGGTACCTAGTGATGTGCTCACTCTTCTTCGTCAGAGCTAGAGTCTGATTCGGAGGAGCTCTCGACATCGTCCAAGTCAATAGGGGCTCTGGCATCGCCCCTAACTTGCTTGAGAAGCTGCTCGGCCGTCATCCCACCATTAGACGACGGCCTCGACGGCGTGGTGTCCATCGAGCTTTCGTCCGGAACAGCAGACCCGACCTTCTTCGACAGGCTTGGGACGTGCACCTCAACTCTGTAGTTGCCTTGATGATATGTTGACGGCGGCGGCCGGCTTGCCATCGGCTGTGTGGATGTAGGCGGCTGCGACATGCTCATGCTCGCCGTTGGATCTTGTGTTGCAGCTGTCGCGTTGGACCCGTTGAGGCCGTTGGCCATGTCCGTTACAGCGACAGTCTGGATTGGTGTGAGGTCCCGCGGAGTCTGCATCGCCGACGCATCACCATTGCCATTGAGGCGAGCTCGCTTGTCGGCATGGCCATCCTTACTTGGCGTAGCGATCGTACGCGGTACGCCATCAGGTATACCCATACGCTGGCGTTCCGCCTCCATCTCCTCGCGATTACGTCGCTGGCGCAGCTTGATGCCGTACTTCTTGCGGATCGTGGACTGCTTGCATGCGTACGAATTTTTGAATCCCGCCAGCTTCTTTTGCAGTTCGTCCGGGTCACCACCGGCTTTCTGCGCAGCTTCAATTTTCATCTTGAATCCCTCTTCGGCTGATTGCAATTCGGCCTTCAGTGCCTCAATTTGATGTACTGTAAGGTGGGCCATATCCTTGTGCTGAGGGGTGCCCAATGGAGCATTCGAGAGATCAACCGCTTGAGAGCTGGAAGGAGCGCGAGGGGTTTGGGTGTTCGAGTATGCCGGGCTGTTGCTCCCAGACGCGACGTACATCGGGGTGCTATCGGGAGCTGGTCGCTTCACAGGAGGATTGAGAACAGGCGGCGGCAGGGACGCTTTTGGAATGGAAGCGATATCATCCTTGATGACTTCGCCAAAGTCGCCGCACACCTTATTCAGCATGTGGTACTGCAAGCCAGCCATGCCGCCGAATCTTTGCGCGCAGTGAGGGCACATGTACGCCTCACTAGTCGATCTTGACAGCGGAGACGTCTTGACACAGATCTTCTTCTTAACATGCTGCTGACGGTTAGCTTTGTCATCGTGGACATTGGGACCATCACTTACATGTTGGTAGGCGGATACTCCAGGAAAAGTCCTATGACAATACAGGCACTGTGGGTTGGCAGGGTCCGCTGGCTCCAGGGGTTGCACGGGGAGCTCTGGCTTTTGGTTGACGCTCTTGAAGGAGTTCGTGCGCGCGAGGGCAACTTGATGTTGCTGTTGTAGCTGCTGGTGCTGCTGTTGCTGTTGCTGCAGGTGCTGTTGTTGTTGGGCCGGAGCTGCAGGAGCGTTTCCAGGCAAGGAGGGGATGACATGTTCATTCTCGACAATGTCCGCAGCATCGTACCCAAGCCTCTCCGCTCGCGCCAGGGCATTAACAAGTCGGCGTGCCTGGATAGTGGGCAGACGAGCTACGAGAGCCCTATCGAGGAATGTGTCGGAGGCTTTGGCGAGAATCTTATCCGCCACCTCATCGATGTCAGCCGTGGTCATGGCATTGACAAGCTCGTGCTTGCCAGCCTCTAGGAACCTTGCGCCAAAGTCCCTGACGGCTCTCTGGAAGATTCCCACGTCGGCTTGGTGCATGGCGACGTTCATCTATCCAACAGTCAGTCATTCGTGATTCTTCAAGAGCCTCTCGGTTCTCCTTTTCACAACGTAGGATACTCGCGACGGCTACTTACAAGAAATGCTAGGTGATAGTGGGAGCCAAGGAGACACTTTGGGTGGTTGTCCCTAATCGCACGTCTCACGGCATCCGGATCTGATTCTTGGATGGCAGCGGATAGCCGAGCATAGTCGTCATGGAATCTATTATTTTTGTCCACGTTACTCGTATGTTCAGCTGGCGCTGACTGAGTTCCTTGCTGAACATCAGAGGTGACGATCGGAACAACAGGGGGCTTGACTCCATTCGCAGCAGCACCTGGTACAGGAACAGGCACTGGCGTTTGCTTGGGAGCCGCAGCTGGTTGCGACGGCGCAGGGAAAGCGGGAGAATGTGAAGCGGTAGCAGGACGGGGGCCGTTCCCATTCAGATGGTTCGCCAGCATAGCCGGTGATGCGGATTGGCGAACCGGTCCATGGCCGAATGCACCGCCGTTGGGCATAGCCGGCTGCTGCATCATTGGTGATGCCATTTTTGAACGGCCGCTTAGTTCATTTGGGGAAAGTGATCCTATGGCCAAGCCGGAGGGAAGACGTTGGCCAAGAAGAAGCCAAGTACACTGCTTGAAGGAGGAACGACTCTAAGTTGAATGAGATTGTCGTCCATGGACCTATATTGGTCAGGTGCAAGCTGTTTGAGTGTTGGTGACAGTCTATAGGTGCACAAAGAAGGGGCTGCTCACGATCCACGATTTGACGCGTCGATCTTTCGCCAAACGCGTTCTTTGACGTCGATCTCGAGTTTGCGATCTTGATCGTGGGTGGTCGTCCTCCTCCTCAAAGTGCCGTTCTGCGCAAACAAGTGGGCGGGCAGACGTGGGTGGAGCACGGATTCGTTAAGTAAAGGGTAGAAAAAAGAGGAAAAGTTAGGGCGAAGGAGGGGCCACGTCTTGATTAGTAGAAAAAGTTAATTAGCGTGACTTGATTAGAAGGAGGGGGTCCTAGGACCGCTATAAGTAATAGCTAGGGAAAGTGCTATATCTTGCTATAGCGTTTTTGGCAGGAGAGACCCGCTCTTGTCCCCCTTAGCTCTGGTTTAATTGGCTGCACCTTTCGTTTGCTTTATAATGGCAAAGGAATCTGTCACACATTCGCGACTGCCCAAGGTACACATAAGACGCTTGGACTCGACGCACCCAATCAGAGGGGATTCGCCGTTAAATTGGAGCAATTACTGCAGAAAAAGTAACATTTTTAGCCCATTTATTAATAAGTCGCAATTAATTCTCCCCACATATTGTCACCAACATGTGAGGCGCGCATGATTCGTATTATTTCGGCCACCGCGATGAGCATTGAAACTGGGCCTGCATTTGAGCAACTCAAAAGGATCTCAATATTGGCGATCAAGTGGGAGCAAGCCTGTCGCATAGAGATCCGTGAGCAAGAAACAGCGTCTTTGGTGCCGAGAACAAAGATCGAGGCATTGTGTCACCACCTAGAGCACCTTGAAAGAGCTGCGGTGTTGCAAATCCAGAACAGAGTCCAGAATGTCATTACGGTAAACTACTGATAACCATACCGAGTACCCGTCTGATTACCTCTGCTCTTCGCGAGCTCCGTCGTTATAGGCGCGCACGGCCTCCCAGTTCACTCAACCATCCATCATTGCTGTCCATTATCTCATGAGAAGTCCGTCCCAGCCCAGGGGTATCATTCGGTCTCGCACTCCGCGCACGTGTTGTCGCTGCTCAAATGTTCTCGCCGATACACGCCAACATCAGCCTCTGGTAGTCGCCGCTCGTCTCGCCCCTGATCCTGCTCGCCAAGCTGCGATTGTACCTTGCCTGGTATGCGCCCTTGACATTGGCGAGGGTGTTCTTGTCCCAGTGGTATCGCACCACGCGCGCCACGAGGAGGTGGTCCTTGGTGCCGAGCCCGGCCATTGAGTCTTCCAGGAGCTTGGCGGCGTGCATGTACTTGTCGACTGCGTTACGGAGCTGGAAGAGAAGGGCGTCCTCCATGTGTCCAGAGAATTCCTGTGGTGCAAAGTTAGTATCGGGTGTGGTATGGGTCTGGGCGTTCAATGGGGCTGTCTGGCTTACCTTCTTGATGACTTCCTCAAGCTTCCTCCTAAACTTTTGCTCGTAGGCCTGGTTGATGGCGCGGATCTGGTTGTCGTTGCGAGTGCTCAGGATGCTACAAACAAGCATCTCATCCGTGCCGACCTTGCCTTCAGTGGCCTTGTACAACTCCATGACATCTGAGTCGACCTGTTGCGGCACGACGGGCGCAGAGTCCTCTGCCCTGTTGGCACCGAGGACAATGAGGAAATGCCTTTCTGTCTTCATGCTGAGGTCGCCCTTGACGTCATCCTCCAAACGCCTCTTGAATGTTTGCTGGTATGCGCTCTTGATTGCCTGCATATCTGCATTTGAACGGCTGAGGAGAACGTCATTCAGAACACTCTCCTTTGTGCCGACCCCGTCCATTGCCTCATACAAGTTATAAATATCGGACCGGAGAGGGCCGCGAGCGACGGACACCAAGCCCTTCTGGAACCAGCTACTTGTCTCCTTCTTGATATCCTGCTCGAGATCGCGTCTGAAGTTCCTGTTGAACGCTGTTCTGATGGCATCAATCTGTAGAGGATCCTTGGTAGCCAGACAGCGGATGAGGGTCTTCTCGTCGGTACCGAAACCCTTCATTGCGTTGCGCGCCGTCGTCGCGTCAGGAGTGGCATCCCATTGAATGATCTGGGGAGCGCCGTATCCCAAAGACGCCGGCGTTGGGGGTCCGTAGTGCTGAGGCGGGGGAGCGCCATACGACTGGTTGGGCGGCTGTGCGCCGTAGCCTCCGGGCGCGGGAGAGTGTCCGCCGTAAGGCGAGGGAGGAATCGGGGGAGGTGCGCCGTATGCGCCGCCCTGGGGCGGATATTGGCCCGGCGGCGGACCTTGGGGCGGGGGGTAGTGACCGCCTTGCGGGGGGTATTGACCCGGAGGAGGTTGTTGGTAGTAGCCGCCCTGTTGAGGAGGTGCACCATATTGGCCGGGGGGAGGACCTTGAGGAGGAGGATATTGGCCTCCTTGCGGAGGATAAGGTGATCCGCCGTAACCTCCCTGTTGAGGGGGCGGGTACTGCTGGCCGTAGCCCTGGCCGTGAGGCTCTGAATTGGTGTCAGGGTCTAGAGAACAAGCATGGGAGAATGGCAGAGATGCGGGATGCAACTTACGGGCGCCGTAGCCGTACTGGCCTGGATAGGACATTGAAGTCTTGAATGCGACGCGCAGAGTTGGATCGGTTGATGATGCCGGGAGAATCGGGGGCGCGCTTGCGTCAGAGGTCGGAGGGGGCAGGGTACTGGATATTAGGTAAATGTGAACTGCGTATTTGTACGGAGTAGGTATTGTAAAAGACTGCGGGGCAGCACAAGTTGACGAGATGCAAGAAGACGGAAAGTCGGATGAGAGAATCGTAGATGAGACTGGGCGGCGTAGCTTATTTTAAAGCTTACATGCGGCGGACGGACAAGACGGGGTCTCAAGAGGCAAGCGAGGTGACGGCGACGAGACCGGTGTGTGGCTGTGAGTCTTTTGCTGAGGCAAGAATTGCGTGTTTGGGCCCCTCCGCCGTTGCTGAGGGGGGAAGCTGGAGGTGATCCTTTCCGGCCGTCACCTGCTTCCTGTTGGTGGTAAGAGCTTGAGCTAAGGTGGTAGATCGAATCCGACGAATCGACCCGAACGCGGAGCTTCTCCCAGCAGTCAGCAGTAGAAAAGCCAAAGTCATTGGGCTGCGAGACGGTCTGCCCAGGCTGGTGTGGTGGCTTAGTAGGCACGCGCCCAGCAAGGAAACTCAACGTCATCCACCCGGAAGATTAAAAACGACTTCTGGGCGGCGCGGGCAGTGCGATGAGGTCCACAGAAAGCGACCAGAAGGTCCAAATGTTTCCATCCTCCAAGGCGCCAACCCTGTTGAGCTGCTGTCAGCGCCACAGAGATGCGTAATCGAGGTAGCACTGCCAAATGTCTCGCGTTCCTGTGCGCCATTGCTGCAGTCCGATGCGAGGGTGTTGTGGGGTGTGTTCACTGTTCACTGCATGATGAATGAGGTATTGGGTCGAGGTAGAAAGATGTTGTTCGAGATGCTGCAGACCTTGAATTAATCAGTACAGATATCCAGAGCTAGAGAGTAGAGCAAACAAACGCGCAAGGTGTGATCGACGGCGACCCCGCTGCCCTACGAGATGACATGCACGCTGGGGGCCAGAGCTCCCTTGCCCATGTACGACTTTGGCGAGTGTTTCTTGTGAAGAAGCTTAGGAGGTGGACCGGGCAGACAGAAGCCGCCGGTGCAGCAGTGGGAGCGGAGCGGAGAGTCGAGGGGAGGGCAAGGGTTCGTCTGGAGGAGGAAAGGGAAGACGCAGGGGGAAGCCACAGGCCAAGGCTCCGATGCACGAGCCACCGGCGACCTGTGCTTTCGGCTGCACCGCCACTTGCTGACAGATCTCGGTCTTTCCGACTTTAGGTGGCTCATGTCATTCGTGGCTGGTGGCTGGTGGTTGCTCCTTGGTGGCTGGTGACTCTGGATTACATAACGATTCTAAGATACCTCGCACCTCGAGAAACCAGCCAGCAATGAACAGGCGCGTGCCAGGACGTGGTTCGACAAGGTGCGTCTCCAGCCTGCAATCCGAATGGCAGTCCCGTCACTAGTGGCTATTTGCCGTTGAAGGTTTCACTTCCGAGTCTGCCACTTTTGATCAAACCATGAGCATGTTCCTTTCCATCGATGACCCCTTGCAAGGTCTAGACGCTGTAGAATCTCCCAGCTGAGTTGCAACAGCAACAGGAACGCGGGTGGCTGGGCAGCCAGCTTTTGCAGCCTCTCATTGGCCATAACGGATCCACCTCGGCAAGCTAAGCGAGCCGTTCAACCCAGCCCGTACCTGGCGTGCCACGCGTGCCTGAGTTCTGCCCACCTCCCGTCACCTTTAGGCCTGTTGCTCCCCCCGCCATTGGTGCCCTTGTGTCGCTGTGTCCCTGGCCAACCAGCCAAAGGTACTGTGCCTAACCCCTCCATCCAATCCCCCCATTCAGTCAAGTCCCTTGTAAGTAACCCCTGGATCAACTGCCAAACCGCCTTGGAAGCTGCACTACCACCACCAAAATGGAGCCATTTCAACCCCAACCACCAACATTTCCCATCACGAGCTTTTCCGAGCTTCCCTCACCCAGCCATCCGCGTTTGCTAGTGCAGCGCAGTAAAACCATCATGGCTCCCGCGCATCCTTCTGTTTGCTTTTCCTTTTGCTTCTCCAGTTTTTTTCTCGTATACCCTACAGTCGCTTTTGCAGCTATTCGTATTCGATCGACATCGATATCCACCGTCCTGTCAGTGCCCGTCCTTCATCCTGCAGCAACAGCAACAGCAAGAAGAACAGCATCTTCTAGGCCTGTCAACTTGAAGCACCAGACTTGAGACGAGCCCTCTCTCTGCCTCTCTCTTTCTCAAACACATTACACCGCCAGCAGCTGGTGGTCCATCGTCAAGATGCGGCCCTCTGCTCCCCTCCCGCTGCTGCTATCCGTCTCTACAGCAGCAAACGCGATCCCCCTCATCGATCGTCTCCTCCATCTTCGTGGCACAAAGCCAACAAAGACCTACTCGGTTGTCAACGTTGAGGGAAGTCCCAGCGCCGACCCGCCAGTCGTCACCATTACAAGATCGCCTATTCAGACAACGGTCACGGAGAGAGTCACCGATACCGTCACCCAGATCTCGTCTGCAGTACAGACAACATCTACATCCCTCATCATCGTAAACGTCGATGGCACCACGGACAGCGGCCCGGCAACCGTCACTGTCTACCCAAGCGTGAAGCATACCCCTGAATCAACACCTTTGACTATTACGCCCACGGCGACACCAACAACACCACCAGTTGCCCCTCCGCCAAGTTCTGCTGAGCCAGCTCCCTCCTCAGCTGCACCGTCAACTCAAGTTTCCGAGTCTGCCCAGCCAGCTCCTCCGTCAACAGCCACGCCTGACATCCCATCGACCATTGTTGGTCCTTCATCAATCCCGACACCATCCTCGAGCGCCCCTGTCGTGGTGCCTCCTCCATCAAGCGAGACGTTGGCGTCGCCTAGCCCGTCTTCGCCAGTGCCTCCATCGCCATCGACATCTGCCATCGAGCTGCCGCCCTCTACGGAAACCCCAGTGGCACCATCATCAGCACTTGTCGGCTCCTCCACCGCCATTGTTGTGCCGCCTCCTTCGACTGAAACTCAGGTCATCCCCAGTGCGTCTCCGTCGCCGTCGTCGTCGCCGTCCGCCAGTGTCTCTACGGGAGCAGTCGAGCCTCCTCCGTCAACATGGACCTCTGTTGCTGCGCCCCCAGCATCATCCTCAGCAGCCGCAGTTTCCAGCTCTTCCGAGGCCATTGTGGTGCCCCCGCAATCATCAGCAACATGGGCTGCTCCAAGCGAGCCGGTATCAACACCGGTTGAATCGTCTGCAGTTGTCGTTCAGCCTCCCCCGCCCACGGCAACCCCGGTTGCGCCGACTTCTTATATCGCCCCCCCTGTGGAGCCATCATCTGCCCTTCCACCCAATTCGACATCTTCATCATTGTCGTTAACTTCGACTACTGCAACTTCGTTCTATACTAGCACAAGCGTCACAGAGGCTTACACGCCGCTGACTCCTACCCAGGTGTATGAGACCACCCACCAGACCTCATGGGTGCAGACGCCGAGCTCTTTCCCTCAACCCTCAACGTTTGTCACCAGCATCGTCAGTGTGACAACATCTTCCTCGGCTCCAGAATCTACCACGAGCTTTGACGATGGTGACTGGTCTACCACCAAGTACCCCGAGTGGAACGGTACTGCCAGCGCGACCCCTCGCTTCCGCCGATGAAGCGGAGGCCCCATTTCCTGTTCCTATCACGGAAAAGACGATGTATGTCTAATGTATTCCTCACGTGTTTTACATATTCACAGCATGGCGTAATTGGTTCTTCTAGAACTTGGGAGGTTGTTTGATTCCATAAAGCATGTCCGACACGTGCAAACGAGACCTGAGAAACGACGCATCATTCATGGCCAAGGGCCATTTCTGACTGTGGGAAGAGAGCTCACAGCAGCACAGACCAAGAGCTGGAACGCGCTGTCATCAATGGGTTTCCTAATGTCTAATAAGATAGAACTTGTATATACTCAATCAACCGTTACATATGATCAATCATTCTACCGTATGCTCGCAACAGGATACCGTGCCCCTATATATCGCCTGTAACTATGACTTGGTTCTTGACAATTGGTGAATCCGGTCGTTGATGGCCGTGATTCGGAATGGGAGAGTGCTTACATGAAACGGCTTGACAGGTCTCCATTTGAAAGGTGTATCACGCGTGTGGACTATGCCAAGGCATCATCAACCACTATAAGCGCAGTGCCCTCGTTCAGATGTTCAAATACGAAACACAAACTGGTTCCTTTAAAGAGGCGCGGCTGGTATTAACACGCAAGCAAGGATCCTGGTGATCTTGTGGACAATCAGAAGGATGGAAGCCGCAGACCTAAGGTACGTTCGGCAACTCGGCTTTTAAGGGTTATATCCAAGAAACCAGAAAAGAGTTGTTACTCGCGAGTCACTGGAATCTGGTTTCCTTCAGCAATCGGTCTTTTCACTATGTTTCGATAGCAACACGCATCTCACCTACAATCCATGGCTACACTTGTGGTCATGATGAATAAGATAATGATCGTCAAGAAACCCGTCACGATGGGAAGCAGACGTGCCAACTGGAATGACACGACGGGATTCATAAGGCTAATGCCAGGCCCGCCGCGCCTCGCGGTGTCTATTCTCGTCATTGCCGGCTTTCTGGTATTGGGTATTGACGGTTATAACTTCTGGCCTAGGTTATTCGCATACTGCGTACGAAAGCAGCGAAAAGGCCCCAGACCTCGCTTACGGATGCTGGGAGACTCCAATTTGAAAGAGCTAACGAGCATAGATGGTGGCGGATTCGTTATGTGAGAGATTTTGAATTGCAGAATGAATGCATAAGGGGTTGCAGGTGCGAGTGGTACTACCTACTTGCTATGACCTGGACGTCTGTGTTACTCTTCCTACCCGGGCTTCCGCCATGACGACCTTGGCTAAGGCCACTTGGAGTGGGATTATCCTTTCTCAATTACGTTTATCGCCATTTGTCTTTCAAGCAGCCTGTTACTCTTGTATCTGGGAAAGTTCTAATGAGCATACAGAGAAAGCCGGGTCAATTAGGGATGCAGGCCAAGCTACAGCTCAGCACCAGACGATTGCAATGAAGACGATGCCGAAGGGATCTTCTCATTCAACACTCTTAGAAAGTAATTAGACAATGATCCGCTGGCTAGCCTTCCAGAAACTGTAGTCATCGGCCACCTCATTGGTGCGCGGAGGAAAGGGTAGCGCTGGCGCTAGCCAACTAGCACCATCAACCAACGCGAGAACACGTTGGATATCACGAACCGGTTCATGGATTTCCTGGGATGCGTTCATACTCTGCTTTTATTTAGTTTCACACCCTCGAGGAAAAGAGAGACACATTTCGCCCATCTACATGAATAAGAAATGGAGACGTTTTGCCAAGTCTCACCTGCTCTTCTATATTCTGAGCCGGGTTCCTGCAGTATTGCGGACCTCCTTGCAACCTTTACAATTGGAGATGGGGTAGAGGGCGTGCGTTGAGTTGAACCAAGTGAAAGTCTGTGCCGACGAATGCGTGCCATGGGAAGCCGTTTATGCATGACAAACTCCCGGAGAATTTTAGGAGGGTCCCGTTGAAGGAGCTAGAGTGTAAGCTTAAGGAAGGTACAGCTTTCTTGGTCGATCTATATGACTAGAGGTCCGTAGGATCCATGCTATTTTCTCTCTTGCAGATGTTTGCGCATAAGAATGACGGGAAACTTGGAGGTGAAGTTTCGTTCGGTGAGCGAGCTACCTTAGATTAGGGATTGCCCAATGGCATGTCTACACGTCTTGTCATGATTACTTTGGCCCAGCTGACAACACAGCGACGGTCGGTTGCCGTTCAGATGAACATAGGCTCCGACAGTTTTACGGCGAGAAGGGCTAGTTTCCGCGACAATCTGGCGGGAGCGAGGTAGCTCGGCATGTTTTGACAGTCACGGTCTCTTCGCGAGCCTGCTAAGGCAGGATAAGAGTGGCTCCATGAGTAGTAATGGTGAGTCGTGACTGTTGATCAACTTCGTCATTTCTCGATGGGTCCCCGATTTATCTGCCATATTCTCGGGTCCTTTCTCGGCCAACCCTAGGGCAAGGTCTTTCAGCTGTAAAGAGGGGAGAGGGGGGAGTATATACCCGCGGTGCTCCTTGAGTACCATATATGCTAATGTGCCGACTTACACGCTCGTTCCAGCCTTTCCACACAAACACTCGGTCCATCGAGCTGAAGAATCACCACTTTCTCCTTCCTTCCCAAAGCAAGACTTTCTCATTCTCAGGGCCGTAGGAAACCACTTCAGCAACACCTCTTGGAGCTCTCTCTCTCTCTCTCTCTCTCACAATGTTTCCACGCCTCCAACCATGCAAACGCCAAAGCGTCCTCTCGACCCTCCTCCTCCTCTTCTTCCTCCTAGCCCTCTTCGTCGATCTGACTTCTGCGACACCATCCCCAGTCCAAGGCCAAGCCCCCAACAAACAATCAAGAGACGCAACCGTCTTAGAAGACCTCTCGTACCTCGCCATTGCGGCCGATACCTCCTGCGAAGGGTCCGAGGGCCAGTACAACTGTCTGTCGGACTCATTCCAGTACTGCCTCAACGGAACGTGGAGCGACGTCACCTCGTGCACCGAGAACAGTGAACAGACTGGCGAGACGTCGTCTCTCTGTTCGCCCATTGGAAGGACGGATACCATTAATTTCAACGGGGAGTGCCAAATCAGTGCCGCTTGGGGCTGGGGGAACGGTGGGGGTGGTTGGGGCGGCGGGAGGGGGTATTACGGTGCTGGAGAGAGGCTTGAGGTGTCTAGGTGGGTTTGGTCTTTTGTTGGTATGATATTCGTCTTTGGTGCGTGGTGAGGCTGGAGTTGATAGGCTTCCTGTCACCTATGTCCTGGGCAAGGGAACGAGAAAACGAGGGTGGGATGAGTGGGCACATTGGAACATATTCGAACTTTTCTTCTGTCGAGGGGATTACACACCAGCAGGTTGGGTAATACGCTTTCTTTGCATAGACGATGTTTCCTCATGGAACCACCCAGTCAGGCGTTTTCTTTTGTGGTAACACCAACTTATCTGTTAACTCTACAGAAATACACTGCTTTTTTGGAGGATATTTGGAAATATGCAGTTTAATTGCATTGATGTGTCATAACGTCTGATTGTTCCAATATACCGGTACCATCAACTTTGCTTCAAGAGATATTCTTAGCTAGACGAAAGTAAGCTTTCTGGGAATAATGAGACGTATTGAGGCTGACATAAATCCATGCGGCAACCCGGATCCGAAGGTCCACAGATCAACAAGAACCACGAGCCAACTTTGCGCTATCGTGACGTCACCCCCTTGGCGCATCACAAGACCAGGTTCAAGGAAGCTAACGACCAACTTCTCTTTTGTATTTAAATTCTGAAGGTAGTATCATGAACTTATACTTCATCTTCCAATTGACGCATTAAAGCATACTCGAAGGATTCGGCTTATTAATCGACCATAAGTAATTAAACTCTTCCAAAAGCTTTAACGCAACTATCACCATGGCCACACACACGAATCCCGTACCTCTCAACGCCGAGACCGCCGGCACCGCGAACACCTACGAGAACCCCAATATCAACACAGCAACCTCCCACACTACGACAGCCGGCGAGGTTCCAGCAGCGCATGCGACCTCTAGAGCCGCTACAAGCACGGTCGGTGGCGGTGATGCGCCGACGACGCGTAGCGGCGGCATCGGACAGCAAATCAAGGGTGCCTTTGCACAAGGACATGTGAGTAGTTCCCGGCGTCTATGTCTTCCTGGTAAGATGGGAGAATGTAGCGGATTCACGATACTGATGACTGGGTTGTAGGGCATGGGAGAAGTGATTCGTGGAAAGTTCAACTCTGCTGTTGATACCGCGGCTGGCGACTCGCAGGGCATGGCCAAGAATAAGAACATTACTACTGGTGGTGAGAGGGAGTTTGCGACAAAGGACTTTGTGAAGAAGGGTACCTTGGACAAGGCTTTGTGAGGTATTCGTTTTGAGAGGACATGCTTTTGTATGATGAGTGTTGTTGATTGAGAGTTTGAATGATACCAACTTGCTCGAGCATCACTTCCGTATTTAATCCATTAGGTTTCATCACAGTATGGCTGCCTTTCTGCCCAATTAAGTATTAATATTCTAAAATGAGGATACGTCACATTATCTTTGCATTCACTTAGGGTGTTGTGGTATGCTTGAGCCGTAATGTAAACTTCGTGTTTTACTTTTCTTTTTTCTTACTGAATAACTAAAAAAGCCAAGGCAGTAAGTTGGTGTGAAATTTTCGTCTAGAAAGGCGAGCGGCCATAGTATGCATAGGCTGCCAAAGATGCCGGGTAATCAGACATATCAGGTGAGTCGTGAACGGAAATCGCGTTTCAATATGGTCACCGTTGGACTAAGGTGGGTCGGATGGCAAGATACGGACAGAAAAGTCCATCGGCATCGTCCGCCGTCAATACACATTTGAGATCTCGATGAAGCCCAGAAAGTTGAAGAATAGCCGATTCTACCTAGCAGACTGTGTCTAGGGCTATCGGTCTTGAAAACAGTCGGGTTCATTACCTAGCAGGAAACGCAAGCAATCAAGCTCTCAGTCTCTCCACGAGAATACTATTCATCGGGAGTCCTTGGAATTTCACATTGTGAAATACTTTGGTGCCCCAGGGGGCTAGAAGTTCGGACTTGGCCTGGAAAGCGATCCCGGCAAGCATGTAGTCAATCGCTAGGCAGAAAACGGCGCCGAACTTGCCGTTGTGAGGAAGATCCATTATCAAAAGATTACAGATATAATCATGGGTGTAAAGCTGTGGTGCTAAATGAAAGGCAGCCGGCGGGTATCGGACCCTGAAAGCGGAGGTGTCCCGGTGGCCCCCGCCATTCTAAAATTGTGGAACCCCGAGATGACCCGCGGAGCCGTGAGCGCTGGTCCGAAACAAGGGCCGAGGCATTGGTTTGCGGACAGCGTTGGTTTGGGACTAGATAAGTACAATTCAAGACGACCCATAAGGTGAATGGCACTAGTGAAGAAGGATTGCTTATCATCCTCGTGAAGAGTCAGCCGGTAAGCAACCAGTGGAGCATTGCATATCATTTGCTACAGGTTGCATGGCTCACTGTACAAGGTGCATTCACGTTGGTTCGGCTGGCTTAAGCAGTCGTTGGCCTGCTGGTGAGTCTCCGTTGTGCAGGGTGAAAATACCTGCCACACACACCATCCAACGGGGGAATCTGACTGCCCAAGCAAGGGTGAGGTGAGGTGAGTTCCATTGGTAAGGTGAGATGAGGTCGGGGAGATCCACACCTTCCCCAAGGACCCCAGCAAGGGGGGGGGGGCACCTTGACGGCCAAAGGTCGGGACTCCGCGTGTGCATGCGGCACAGCGGTTGGATGTTCACACTGCAAACTGCAACAGCAACGAAGTTCTGCTCATCAAAAGAAAGGGAAAGAGTCATTGGCCGATGGGATGTTTCCGACTCGGGGAAAGGACCACTTGGGCAGTTCAGTCACTAGGAAGGCACCTTGATGGACCCCTCTCCTTGGCTGCTTCTCGGAACGCGTGGGTGTACCAATTCGGAAAGACATGTCAAAGGAAGTCACGCTCACCTTCCACCTTCGCAGGGGCACTTGCCGTACCTTACACGATGCCATAAGACCAGCTGATGACCCTCTTTCTGCCTTTGCTACTTTCCAATTCCGCCTCTTTTCTCTCTTATTCCGACTCTGTCACTCTTCCGCATCTTCTTCCATCGTTGCTGTGCTGTGTTCAAACCTCCAGACACCAGTTCCATCCATCCGAGAAGCGTCCCCGTCCAACCCACCCGAGTTCCGACCCCAGATTTTGACCCCAAGTTCCCACACCTCGTAACCCCACGATTCCATCATGGACGAGGAGCAATCCCCCTTGATGCGGATCCCCGCCGAAATCCGCATCATGATTTACGAATACCTCCTCGACGATGCTGGCGAAAGAAGACTCGCCGTCCGTAATAAGGCAATGCATCAGCTACACACCGGCGCCCTGAGCACCTACCGCCGCACATCATACCGCATCATCGAGAGGTCTTTTCACAGGCAATGTTTTTTGACGACGTACGCACATCACCACCCGGCTAGCCCCAAGTCAATAATGCACCCCGAAATCATGGCTGTCAACCGCCGCATTCACCGCGAGACGAGTCACCTCCTCTACGGCCGCCCCCATGGCTTCGATTTCGGCAGCGACGTAGAGGCTGTGGTGCCCTTCCTCAAAGACCTGACGCCGTCGTCTCGCTGTGCTATCCAGGAGCTTACCATCCGTAAGGATGGGCCTGTGATGCACTGCAATAGTGAGAGTGACCGGCTGGACTGGGCGACCATGTGCGCCTACCTCCGCCGGCTGGACAAGATGATACCTAGGCTGCGTATCGTCGTGGAGGGCGGAAGACCGACGGCGGCGTGGGAGGGGCCGCAGGTGCTGAGCGTCTCGGATCTGAGGTTGTTGGCGCTCATCAAGCACGATAGCATGGAGTGGGTCGCCGAGTTGGCCAAAGTCGAGGGGATTGAGAAGCTGGAGATTGTGCCGAGGATACGACATCTCCCTGCGCCCGGAACGACGGCGACGCTGCTGTTTGCTGCATTTTCAGCGTCAATTGATACGGGGCTTGTTGAGTATCTACAGACGGATTGCGGGCTGCCTGCTACGGCTGTGTCCCTCACAGCTTGAGACCGTTAGGAGGCATTGGTCGTGGGATAGTATGGGCTGCGTTCTCGGCCTTCCCACTCGGGAAATCGGGTGAGTATGGACACGAGCCCACTGATTGCGGGGATGGAGCAAATATGGAGAGTATGCGGAGTACTATCTGGATTTGGCTGGCTTTTGTTGGAGTAAGGGGTTCACGAACACACATATCCTGCATGATGCAGCAATGGCACATGGATACGGAGTAAGCACACGGCATGGAATTATCTGAGGTGGGTGAAGATGGGAGTTGGTGCAGCGGCATCCTGAATGTATGGGTACGTTGCACAAGCATGTGACAGTGTACGAATCAGCTACTGAGGGAATCTCGAACGAATGAATGAACTGATTTTTGGAGAGGGACCGTTGTTCGTTGGCGATGCTGTCGTTGCTTCTGACCCTTGTGATCGTCAAGTGGTCAAGGTTGGTTGTGTTCTGTTGAGAGGCGAAAAACGAACTGAATCCACAGCAAGATGCAGCCAAGGCGGGGGGCGCTGGCCGGAACTCTGGCCTGTGCCGCGACCCTTGCTTGGTCCAAGACAGAACTTTTGCTACCAACGCGCCCAACGTACCAAACGTTTGTGGTTCGAGATCCTGGTCGATCTTGCTTCCATGATCCAGAGTCAGAGTAGACCTAATGCTTAAGTGGGAAGGGTTTCCGCTATCTTGCAATGGGAGAAGCATGCCTTGTTGGGCCTGAGCAAGAACGAGAGTACAGCCATAGATACATGATTGAAGCTCGTTTGTCTTATCGCGTCAGCTTTGGGTGAGATTACTTTGCTTGCGGAATAGGTGCTTTCAGCTATGAGTGTGCGACTGGAGTGAGATGTGCGAAAACTGCAATGTGATGAATAGAGAGGCACACTACGGGGAGACATAGCCACACAGCTCGTCCTGGGAAGTCCGTCCGCCACCGAAAGTAGGTTAGGTAGAGCCGCAATGATTCACTGCATTTTCAACACCCTCAGAGCTGTCCCAGCCCACCTCAATCACTCAGACGTTGTTCACTCCTTATCTTATCGCTCTGTTCGACTAGTGGTGCCTTACATAATGAAGTCTTACATAATCCCGCCTCCAGGCAGCTCGATTCTCCGAGCTCCCACTGGCGGGCACGTCACAGGCAAGTCGCAAGAGAACCTGAATGGAAAGGGCCCGTCTCCACTTCTCGTCCACGCCAGCCAGTGTCTGGCCTTCACTCCAGTGCTCCAGCGCCCACCTCATTCTCCAGCCACGGCTCAGTCCACCGAGCTCGCATCGCACAGCACCGCAGCACTGCCCAGTCGGCTCCTTAGCACTCGCCTCGAGCCAGCTACTGCTAACCTGACGGGACTCCATCGTCAGCCTTCCAACGAACCCCCCCGGACCTCACCTCGCAACCCTTTTCGCAGCCGCGTGCGCCGACGACACACCTACACACCTCCGACATCTGCGTCCTCGTCCATCGCGCAATTGTTCCGACCGCAATCGATCCACTCCGACTCTGTCGTTCAGCCTCTTCATCAATGAGCCACAACTGAGCATCATATACGTCGCCTCGATCGATAACTACCCCGCCGGTTCGACTTCGATATGTCTGCGACTCCTGTGCCGCCGGAAGACCAGGCACGCCTCTTGGAGGATGCCCTGGTCGCGGTGCGCCAGCAGACGGCCCTCATGCGCAAATGCCTCGACACGCCGAGCAAGCTCATGGATGCCCTCAAGTGCTGGTACGTCATCCCCGTTCCCCGGATTCCCGGGAGCTCCTAGGCAGCTTCTCTCGATGCCCCCGATAAGCTTCAATGGTGGAGACTAACAGTCCAATGCACCTCGTCCAGCTCTACCTTAGTTTCCGAGCTGCGCACGAGCAGCCTGGGCCCGAAGCAGTACTATGAGCTATACATGGCCGTCTTTGACGCCTTGCGCTACCTCTCCGTCCACCTCCGAGAGAACCACCCCGTCAACCATCTCGCCGACCTGTACGAGCTCGTCCAGTATGCCGGCAACATTATTCCGCGCCTGTACCTTATGATCACCGTCGGCACCGCCTACATGTCCATCCCCGATGCACCTGTCAAGGAACTCATGAAGGATATGATGGACATGAGCAGGGGCGTGCAGCATCCCATTCGCGGGCTGTTCCTCAGATATTACCTTTCCGGCCAAGCCAGAGACTACCTGCCGACAGGTGACGGCGACGGTCCTGAGGGCAACTTGTCCGACTCGATCAACTTCATACTCACCAACTTTGTCGAGATGAACAAGCTCTGGGTCCGGCTGCAACACCAAGGCCATTCCCGCGAGCGCGAACAACGGACAAGAGAGCGGAAAGAGCTCCAGCTGCTGGTTGGAAGCAACATTGTCCGACTGAGCCAACTCGTGGACCTGGAGACGTACAAGTCGGGTATTCTTGCGCCTCTGCTAGAGCAGGTTGTGCAATGTCGCGATGTCCTGGCACAGGAGTACCTGCTGGAGGTCATCACCCAGGTCTTCCCTGACGACTTCCACCTACACACTCTGGACCAATTCCTCGGGGCTGTTTCGCGCCTGAATCCCCATGTCAACGTCAAAGCTATTGTGATCGGCCTGATGGACCGCTTGTCAGATTACGCAGAACGCGAATCCAAGGACGATGGAGAAGGGGACCGGGCCAAGCTGGAGGAGGAAGCACTATCAGCTCTGCTGGAGAAGACGAAATTGCAGGCCGAGAAGGCATCAAGTGCACCAGGCTCCGGTGTGGACGAGAATGGGAAACTTCTTGACCTCGACACGAACGGTGCCGCGCACGAGAGCAGCGAAAACGAAGCCCGCGCCGCAGAGGACCTACCCCCGCCAGAAGAGCCAGCTCCTTCGATTGCAGACACTGAGGCGACTGCCGTCAACGGAGAAGGGGCCGACGCAGAGAAGGGTATCCCAGAGAACGTGCAGCTCTACGAGATTTTCTTCAGCCAAGTCAAAAACTTGGTGGATGCGCAGCACCTCCCCATCCCAGACACAATAGCGTTGCTCTGCTCACTGACAAACCTGGCACTCAACATTTATCCCGAGAGGCTAGACTTTGTCAACCAGATTCTCGACTATGCCACGATCAAAGTCCGGGAAAACGCAAACAATGCCGACCTGCATTCCCCCCCTGCACAGCAAAGTCTCTTGGCCCTGCTGCAAGCACCTCTCAACCGCTACCTCTCCATCTTCACCGCGCTCTCTCTTCCTACCTACGTTCCTCTTTTCCAGTCGCAGTCGTATCCAACTCGCCGCGCCGTTGCTGGCGAGGTCGCTCGCACCCTCCTCCGTGACCAGACACGGATCTCTACCCCTAGCCAGATGGAGAATGTTCTGGAGGTCTTGAAGGTGCTCATTAAGGAGGGCTCCCAGACACAGTCCAACTACCCAGGCGTTGCACAACGCCGCGCTGTCGAAACTGACGAGACTATGGAGGAACAAGGTTGGCTGGCCAGAATTGTCCACCTCATTAATGGAGAAGACAACGACACACAATTCCGTTTGTTGCAAATGACCCGCAAGGCTTACTCTGAGGGCAACGAGAGGATCCGCACGACGACCCCACCCCTGATCACCGCCTGCATGAAGCTTGCAAGACGCTTCAAGACACGCGAACACTACGAGGACAACTGGGAGACCCAGAGCAACGCCCTCTTCAAGTTTATGCACTCTGCTCTGAGCACTCTGTATACACGTGTCAACGGAGCCGGCGCGGCGGAGCTTGCCTTGCGCCTGTTCTGCGCGTCCGGTCAGACGGCTGATATGACGGGCTTTGAGGAGGTAGCCTACGAGTTCTTCGCTCAAGCCTTCACCGTGTATGAGGAGGCTATTTCGGACTCCAAGGCGCAGTTCCAAGCCGTCTGCGTTATCGCCACGGCGCTGCACCAAACGAGAAACTTTGGCAAGGAGAACTACGACACTCTCATTACCAAGTGTGCCCAGCACGGCAGCAAGCTTTTGCGCAAGCCGGACCAGTGCCGTGCTGTCTACCTCGCTAGTCACCTGTGGTGGGCCACGCCAATGGCTGCCAATGGCGAGGCCGACGAAACTGGGGTAAGTCTGGACCGCATACACAATCAAACGACACTTGCTAACCCGTCTCAGCTGTACCGCGATGGAAAGAGAGTGCTTGAGTGTCTTCAGAGAGCTCTGCGCGTTGCCGATTCTTGCATGGAGACGGCCACTTCCATTGAGCTGTTCGTTGAGATCCTCGACCGATACGTCTACTACTTTGAGCAGCAGAACGCAGCGGTAAGCAAACCATCAGTCTACGCTAGAATGCTGTTGTGCAAGTTTGAGTACTGACATGACTACAGGTCACTACCAAATACCTCAACGGCCTCATTGAACTTATCCACTCCAACCTCGCCGGCAACCAGCAGGATTCGGCCTCAGTCGAGAACAGCAAGCGCCACTTTTACCACATCCTCGAAAGTATCAAGGGGCGGCAGTATGATGGCATTGTCCTGTACCCGAAATAAGCGCCGGTACTTGGAACCTGTCGACCCATTTCTGAAGCAAAGGGGAGGCAACTCTCCAATTACCGCATGACGACATACCTTATGAGAGCAGGGAGAATGAAAGAAGGGAATATGGAGAGGGAACAGGCGGAGGTTTCTTAATTAGCGGTGAAGGGGACGAGAGGTCAACACGGGTTGTGAGAAGAACCTAGTTGAAGGAGGTTTGGAGATTGGAGCAGAAGGGGATGAGAGTGTTGCGTGAGAGAGAGAGAGTCAAGAAAAAACGTGTTTATACGATAAGCGCATGCAATGAATTGGAACAAGACGAAATCTGTGGATGTGGTTGTGCACAGAGAGACAATGGAAAAGCTTTGCATGTGGTTTGTGGCCTTGATTCTATATACGTGTGTCGTGCCTTTCTCTTCCTACCTTACCTTATCCTTATTGAAGCGATCCATGTTTTTGCCCCCGGCCATAATCATCACCATTCCACAAGGTACATCCTCATGGCCAGGTCAGTTGCGAAATGAGCATCCATCCATCCAT